AATATTTAAGTGAGTTAATACATGTTAGAGTAGTATCTGGTATTTAATGTTCAATAAGTGATAGCCATTAACTTTATTATTATAAGGACATATTTTCCAAAAGTCTTTATTATCTCTTGTAAATAGGACAAAAGAAGAGATCACCTGGAGATTAAGGGAATGCAGTTATGGAAGTAAGAGTGACTGCCCATCCAATATAAATGCCTATTTCCCACCCCTACTTTAAATTAATAGAAAAGGGAAGAGTAGGAAGAGATAAATATGGGAACCCTAATCTAAGAGAAGAATAGCTTAGAAGTAGATGACTGGCACAGAGTATCCTAAAGAAATTTATTCCCCCTCACAATCCTTTTTAGCTGAAGCTGATTCAGAAGCTTAAATTTCTGAATTTCCCTCTCCTCTTTACTACTGATCTGTGTAACCTTCAAGTGAGCCACTTAACCACTTGGTCTTCTCAGATAAAAATCTGATAACTTCCATCTGTCCAAGATAGACTGATATATGTTCATCAGAATGTTATCAAGATATAGCTTATTATAAGTTCCTCAAAAGAAGCAAGATGCTATCAGACCTCCATGGAAACAGGTGTTTATCTTATTTTTCTTACTTCCTCTCCCGCTCTCCCTCCTGCTCACATATAAACACATTTTGGCTGTGGTAATAATAATGTGGGAAGGGTTCAAGTATTAGTACTCATCAGATAAAATCTGTTAGAAAATGGAAAGTTTTTGACTTTATGAGTAGAGTTTAGAGTAGATCACAATGAGAATTTAAGAGAGTTTCCTTCACTTTATCATCAACCTCATCTATCACTCCTCTCCTTAATCGCATGTGGAAATACTTTATTCGTCTGTGACATACAGTGCCATAATATCAACACTCTCATATCAGGAAAGCTAGTACTCCATTTGCTCTGTTCTTTCTCTCCTGTGAAAAGAGAATAGTCTATTCAGCATGTCTGAAATTATTAAGCGATTACTGTCATTAGAAAATTGCTTCTTCTAAGAGTTAAATGTAACGTCTGAAGTATGTTATACTTTTAATAACTTAGAAGTCCTCTGTTCAATAGGATAGAGGATAAAGTATAGGTTAGGATATAAATCTAAGTTATCATACAAATAAAAATACTTAGACATATACACACTATACACAAACGCAGTATTTTTTTTCATGGTAGAGGATGTGAAAATTAAATATTCCAAGAAGAAAATCTATTTCCTTGACTGAGATAGGATACTAAATAGGTCAAGGAGCTAGAAATAAAAATCCTATGAGGGAAAAGAGAGAAACCTAAACATGGTGAGATCATCTAATGTAATTGTAAGGATGATTTATCTTTCAATATTTTTCTATATGATCTTTCTATGAACTTTTCTTGGGTGAGAAATAGAATTCAAAATACCTCTTATTTCAGGTTCACACAAACTTTGGGGTGAAAGATGGGTTTTGCAAAAAGATTTCAACTTCTACAGATTATTAGGTTTTGGCTGCCTACTTTATTTCCCACTTAGCCAGGAAGAAGCTGAAAAGAAAGAGTAAGAGTAAAGAAATACACATAATGGAAAATCCATAAAAACAGAACTCCCAATTAACAAAATGACATTTTCAAAATAAGAAAAAAATACAATTAATATTTCCTACCAAAAACAACAAAAAATAAACTATTAGACTCTAAGAGGTTATTTCAAATTAGAAAATTTATGATAATATTTACTGAATCTTAAGAATGGAAAAAAATACATGTGCACACACCAATTTTACATACTAGAGAGAGAGTAGAAGAGAATACATTATGTATGAGTCCCAGATTAGTCATCTTCCATCCAGATGATGACAGTAGTAAGTCTATTATAATGAAAGACCTATACTGAGTTTCATGGGCTTAAAATATGAATGTTTGAAATTGTCTATTATGAATAACCAACAGTCATTTGTCATAGGAACTGAATCATTTCAGTGTCTAACCCTCTAACCTCCAGACATTAAAATGTCTTATTAATTTCTTTAGGGAGTTGGCCAGCTATTTTGCACCATGAAGAAGCAATCTAAATCGAGCCATCATTTACCTTATTTTATTCTTCCTACTTCCCAGGATAAATACTCAACTGCAAGCAAAAGCTGTAGGACAACACTACCTATATTACGTACAGTTTGTGATAAGCAAAACACATAACGACTACCATAAATCTTAAGGAATATCAGAATTCTTATGCCCATTTCACTCGATCTCACAGTGAGAAGGTTGAGTATTTGGAGAAATGAACGCCTTATTAAAATCTGGAAACCTTCACTAGCACAGTTTATACTAGATAGCTACGAATGGACTATGACAGTGATTCAACTAGGGCACATCGGCCTTAGTCACTATCCATCAAAGACAGTTGGTCCTGTTTGTGATGTTTTATAGGAATACAAAAGTACAAGAAAAATTCATTTTGTCAAATTTAAATGCCCAGAAAAGGGCAGAACAAACAAAAAAAGATTTTCAGTAACAGAGAACATATTTTAAATTAGGTTGATAAAATAGATATTCACATAGGATATTACTGCATTGCCTTATTTGAAAGCATGGTGTTAGCCTTGTTACAATTCTGTTCCATCACCACACTTAGGATGGTGGACACAGAACAGTCATGGTATACCACATCCAGAAAACAAACAAACATGTTGGGTACTCTACTGACAGGCCTTTATTGAGCTGATAAAGGTGATGAAAAATGAAAGTACATATTAGAGGGAAGGAGGAGAGGATCAAATATTAAAAATGTAATCCAGGAAGTTATAGTCTATCAAGGATTATGATTAAAATCAAATTCACAGGGGTGCCTGGGTGGCTCAGTCAGTAAGCATCTGACTCTCGATTTCGGCTCAGGTCATGATCTCAGGGTTGTGAGATCAAGACCTGTAATTGGGCTCCACACTCAGTGAGGAGTCTGTTGGAGATTCTGTGTCTCCCTCTGTCCTTCCCCCGGCTCACACATGTGCGCTCACATGCTCTCTCTCTTAATAAATAAATAAATCTTTAAAGTGGAGTTTCTTAACAAATCCTGATTTAATCTAATGGGTCACTGGGCCCTAATTACTATTTTTAATGATTGTTTTAACCAAGTCACTCTTCTCAAATGATCACTAAATAAGTTATCATATCCCAAGTAACTTCAAAGGAAAATATCAAAAGTCCTAAGTACAAATGCTTTATGAAGTAAAATTGAATTTTACATTAATTTATATTTTTTGATGAATAATTTTCACCAAGAGATAGTGGGGAGAAACTTCTAAGATTTAGCAGGTTTTTACCCAACAACTAGTTTATCAGCAAAACTCATGACTTTCCTCTAACAACCCACATTCTATTACCTAGGATCTTAAAAGTCTACTCTGTGGAGGACTGGAATAATCCTGCATAGCCCTTATCACAATTTGAAATTCTACATTAAACTGTGAATTTATTTAATGTGTTTCTCCCACCAGCCTATATACGCTGTGAGGCCAAGAAGCATGTCTACTTTATTCAGTTCTGTGTGTCTTGTATAAAATAGGCCGTCAAAAATGGGTTTAACCAACCTTGCAGCCCAGGGATAAATCCCACTTAGTTGTGGTGAATAATCTTTTTAATGTACTGTTGGAGCCTACTGGCTAGTATTCTGGTGAGAATTTTTGCATCCATGTTCATCAGGGACGTGCACCCCAATGTTTATAGCAACAATGTCCACAATAGCCAAACTATGGAAAGAGCCAAGATGTCCATGGACAGATGAATGGATAAAGAAGATGTGGTATATATATACAATGGAATATTATGCGGCCATCAAAAGGAATGAGATCTTGCCACTTGCAACGACGTGGATGGAACTGGAGGGTATTATGCTGGGTGAAATAAGTCAAACAGAGAAAGACATGTATCATATGACCTCACTGATATGAGGAATTCTTAATCTCAGGAAACAAACTGAGGGTTGCTGGAGTGGGGGGTGGGGTGGAAGGGATGGGGTGACTGGGTGATAGACACTGGGGAGGGTATGTGCTCTGGTAAGCGCTGTGAATTGTGCAAGACTGTTGAATCTCAGATCTGTACTCTGAAACAAATAATGCAATATATGTTAAGAAAAAAAAAAGAAGAAGATAGCAGGAGGGGAAGAATGAAGGGGGGGAAATCAGAGGGGCAGACAAACCATGAGAGACGATGGACTCTGAAAAACAAACTGAGGGTTCTAGAGGGGAGAGGGGTGGGAGGATGGGTTAGCCTGGTGATGGGTACTGAGGAGGGCACGTTCTGCATGGAGCACTGGGTGTTATGCACAAACAATGAATCATGGAACACTACATCTAAAACTAATGATGTAATGTATGGGGATTAACATAACAATAAAAAAATTTTTAAAAAAATTTTAAAAAATGGGTTTAATGTTGAATGAATGAAACATGGAACAACCCCTACTATTCATCCTTCTCCACCCCCAACCCCCATATAATTTTGGGGATTAGTCTGACAACTAGCAAGCAGGAAACTTTTGTGTCTTCCCCACTTCTCTGTTCCCACTCTGTATCTGGCCCACTGTACTCTGGTGGTAATAAACACCTTCTATTAACGTTCTTATCACATTGCATTGTAAGTGACTGCCCCAAAAGGAAATGAACTAGTTACCTGTGTGCCCATTTATCTCTGACAATGCCAGGTGATTCCCTTGTTTCACTTTCTGACCAGCATCAAGAAATAGGTTATGAAAATGATATATCCATTAGCTCAGAATATAAGGAAGTACTGGATGGCGTACAAGAAAAATTTTATGAAATCAAGTAAAGCCAATAAAGTATAACAAAATAAATCATCTCCTTCTAAGTCACACACTGATAGGATTAAAAATTGTAAAGTATCTTCCAAAAGGAGGATCTATCCTACACAATTAATATAACAAATCACCAAAAGTCCTATTCTTTTTTTCCATGTAAAATAATTCCTTCACAATCTTTTCAGTAAAAAGCCAGAAAGAAATACATACATGATGGTGTTAATGCCTGAGAGCTGTTGGAACATTTGTAGACCACAACCCACAATTAAAGCTCGGCGAGTTGGGGGATAACTCAGCATTCTGCAGATCACAGGTCCAGCTTTTTTAAAAAAGAAAGAAAAAGAAGGACACATCTATTATTTTTAGCTCCCACAGTAATTATTCCCATTAGGATCAATTTCCCCAAAACTCTGTGAAATCAACATGACCGGGCATTGTAAAATGGAACATATAAACGTTTACAGAAATCTGGGCACAATCTCTTTTCTAAAACAGATTAGTATATATTTGAGTTCACACTGTAAAAGCAACAAGAAACAATTCAAGTTAAAGCAATTTATGGGTACTAGGAAGACCTACATAATTGGAACTGTGAGAAATTATTCTTCCTTAAATTCCTACAAACTGCATTAACTACTCTTCTTTTTCCACTTCCTTGGCAATTAATTATTATTTAAAATCCATTCATTGTGGGACTACTTACAAAGTCACTTGCAAATTGCTTTAATCAACCAAAAGAATGGCATTCATTAAAAACAATTAAACAAGGAACAGAATTCATTCCAATTTATTTTACTTAAGTAACAAAATTCACTCCAATCTATTCAATTAAAGTTAAGGAATTTAGGCATGACATAGGACTTGGTTATAGTTTATATTATTAATAAATGTTATCCAAAAAGATAATAAAAGAAAAAAAAAGTCTTTTATATAAGAGTATATACACATACATATGCACAGACACACATACACACTACATATATATATATGTTATTTCTAGATTTTGAATAGCTCCATCAGTGGCATTCAATGATCATTTCAAAATATAAATGGGCTTTCCAAATGGCACAGATGCCTTGGTCTATCAGAACTCTAGATCAATTCTGGAAAGCTGTAGGTATGAACCACTGAGGCCTTAAGTAAAGTGCCCCTTAGGTTCTCAGAAGTGTTTCAATTACACCTTCACCTTAGCTTTAAGGGGCATTCTATGCAGTGTCCTTGATGGGGCCAGAGTTGACTCCCCTGGACCTATGGCGTTCCTGCTGTTAGAAGAGATGGCTGGGATCACTGGGATGTTAACTGCTTAATTAGAGGCATTCTTCCTGGAGGCTAAGTTTCATTAGTGAACCCTAAACTAAGTCAAGTTTAAAATCCAAGGACATTTTACCATTCCGGAACCTTTTGGAAACCTAATATTCTAGTTCACAAAAATGGGATAAAATATACTGTTGTCTCGGCAATAAAAGTTAACATGGGATGTCGAACCAGGGTATTAATTAGAACTGAACATTATAGGAATGAGAATATTCATCTCTACATGGGTGTGATTAAAATCATATGAAGACTTGATTTACTGCAAACGATTCTGTCCCAAAATGGTAAGACAGGGACATGGACAGAGAAGCATTTATGGTCACTTAAAGCTTAATGCAGTGACAACCATTTAGAAAGCAAGGAGAGAGTACTGTAAATGTCAACTGTTTTAGATTCAAGTAAAGAAGTATTAAAACCCAGTACATCAGAAAGGCTGTGTGAAATAGGCCGATTTTGAAAGCTTTACTGTGACAATATTGAAATATATCTGGATCAGTTGTCTGAAAGGTGAGCAGGTTTGCCTGCAAGTTCAGCTATCTATAAGTGAGCGACAACATAAAAAACATACACAGCATCATAAAAAGATCTACCGATTTCCATAAATCAGAAAATCTAAATGAAAAAGATTATCATTTACTTGGTGTACCATGGAAAATTTAAAACGACAACAAAACAAAAACAAATAAAACACCTTCTTCAGCTTTTAGTAACCTCCACAGATAAGAAATAGGCCTTCTGCAAAGAATCTATTATAGTCTGTGGGTAGCTGCATCTATTTTCACTACCAAACTGTTCAGTGATTTGATGGACAGATTACCTAATAATGATTTTGGAGGGCAGGAAAATAAAGAGAAAATGAAGACAAATTAGGATTAAAGTTTGACTTGCCAAAATACCAAGAGATATACTATTGTATAAACATCACATATATACTTCCTAGTTTTTAAAATTCTGAGTTTTTAACCTTCTTTTGGTTTTGATTTCCTATTAAAAATAAACAACAGCAGTTCTGTTATTGGACTGGCTTTTTTTAAATACACAGATAAATTTTGGTCATAGTAGCTGCACATCTGATTATGCATAAATAAAATGAAAGAATTTCCTTTCATTAAAATCATAAACTTAGCTTTATTAGGCAGTAAAACTGACTTAACAAATGCAAACTATCATTAATTTTTATATTACAGATGCTATGAGGCAGAAGAAAAATATCAAAAATATTAATTGGTTGAATGTTCATAAGTGAAAATTTAAAATGTCATGCTCTACTTACTACGTTTCTTTTGATTTTTGTAACTAAAAACATTCAGTGTATACAAACATGTCATGCTTAATTTTGAAAAAGATATTTATATCTTTGAGACACAAATTCCCACACAATAACACATAAAACCTTTAAACAACTAAAGTAGATAAGAACTACAGGGCTCAAAATATAACACGTACTAAAACAACAGATGCAAGAACCAAAAATGGGTTCCTCTTTTCCTTCTTTCTAAACACCTCATACTAAGTAACTTTCACAATAATTGTCCAAGTGTGGCAGGTACTCTAGTGACAAGAATGCAAAGGACAGTCCTACAAGTTCAGCCATTCCTGTTAATAACTGTCTGTGAGCCAAGCCTAGAGACGTTTTTCCAGGTACAATTAAAAATGCTCTAGAACACACTATATAAAATCCCAGCTGTTGATCTCCACTTCCAGCCAAAATGCAGTAATAGTTACCAGATTTCCCTCCAACATGAAACCAACTAGAAAGCCATGAAAAATGTAGAAGACAATAGGTTTCATGACAATGGATAACAGGCAATGAAGGACAGTGAATCCTGAGATTCAGGAAACAAAAGGGGTGAACCCGACAACAACTGTCCAAGTTCAATGCCTCAAAAAAAAGTTTCCAGGCTGCAATACAAGCAGGGGAAGCTAGGCAGACTCTGGTGGTCTCCTTGAATTGAAAAGATGCAGCTCAGGATCCAGGGACACCATGGTGGCTGGAGTTGGGGCAGAGTGCCAGAGAGGAGAGAGAGAGACACAGAGATCTGCAGGCCCTCTTGGGTATTTCATTGAGTGGATATGTGTGAGGGAAATACTCAAGGCAGGAGAAAGAGCCACAGAAAGATTAAAGAGATCAACTCCAGGACCTGTTTGTACCAATCAGAGGGAAAAACCTGGAGTGTAAGGAAGAGTAATCAAAAGGGTCTTACCTTGGTAATGGTATAAATTTAGTCCTACATTAAACACTGCTTGGGTACCATCTAAAACAGCTTAAAAATCAAGACCCCACTGCTTCCAAGCACTGAACAGCATCCCAGAACAAAGTTCAGCAGTAAGAGAAAATTTATAATATCAAGCACACAATAAAAAATTATCAGGCATGCAAAAAGGCAGGAAAGTACAACTCGTCATAGTAAAGGGATTAATTCATCAAGAGGACATAACAATCCTAAATGTCTATGCACCTAATAAGAGCTTCAAAATATATGAAACAAAAATTGATACTACTGCAAGGGGAAATAGAAAAACCCATAATTATACTCAAATATTTCATCACCTCCTTTTCCATAATTCATAGAATACGTACGTAAGCTGAAAATCAGCAAAGATAGAGAAGACTTCAACAACACAATCAAGACTTGACCTGACATTTAAATATCACTCCACTGACCAAGAGCACAATACAGAATCCTTTCCAACAGTAAATGAATGCTAAATGTCTTGGAATATTTCCCGAGATTATATTTTCATTTCTAAAACCAGTCTCAATTAATTTAAAAGGGTTTAAGTCATACAAAGAATGTTCTCAGACCATCATGAAATTAATATAGAAATCAACAACTGGAAGATAACTGGAAAATTCCTTCCAAATTGGAAACTAAATACCACATTTCCATGGGTCAAAGGGATAATGGAAAATTAGAAAGTATTTTAACTGAAAGAATATGAAAACACAGCAACTGAAAATTTGTGGAATGGAGCTAAAGCAAAACAGAGGAAAATTTATAGCAATGACCTTGGATTCCACTTTACAAAACCAGAAAAAGAGGGACAAATGAAACCCAAAATAAACAAGATAAAGAGAATAATAAAGAGCAGAACGGAAATTAATGACATAGATCAAAAAGACAGCTGAAGGGGGGGAAAAAAAAAATCAAAGAAACCAAAAGCCAGTTCTTTGAAAATATCAATAAACTCTGAGCCACACTGTGGTAGGCTGAGCAACAGCCCCTCAATAGATAGGCACATGTACTAATCCTTGAAACTTGTTAATATTATCTTAGATAACATAAAAGGACTTTGCAGATGTAATTAAATTAAGGATTCTGACATGGAAAGATTATCCTGGATTATTTGGGTTTGGCCCTAAATGCAATCACATATATTCCTATGAGGAAGGCAAAGGGAGATTCAGGATAAAATAAAAGGCAACGTGACCATGAATGCAAAGACTGGACCAACGCAGCCATAAGCCAAGAAATGACAGCTCCCACCAGAAGTTGGGAAGAGAAAAAAGCATACTGTCCCCGAGAGCCTCTGGAGGGAGCACAGCTCTGCCAACACCTTGATTTCAACCCAGTGAAATGCATTTCAAACGTGCGGCCACCAGACCATGAGAACAAATTTCTAGTGTTTTTTAAGCTACCGAGTTTGTAGTGATTTTTTACAGCAGCAATAGGAA